TTACAATATTTTGATATCTTATTATGAACTATGATTTACTTAATTGATTAGACTAGTAAATGGGCCCATGCTTCGCGCGGTTAGATTATTTTTCTTTAAAAATTTATTAGAATAGAATTATTCTTGTATTTTGATGTTATAGCATTTTTATATAAATATATTTTCAAGAGTATAGAGGTTATTCAATTGTAGTTTACCATTTGTTTTATTAAAAGAAAAGGCAAAATTACAAATCATAACACTATTTTCTCCTAGTTTTCATAATTTCATTTTACAAATTCATTAATTTGCTTTTGAAATTTTACAATGGTTAGATTAGTTTTATCATTTATATGCATGGATACATAGTGTCTTTAATTACAAAGTCAAATAAATATTTTTCTCAATTTCTTCTTTGCAAATTTCGTTAGTATAACACTATCAATTACTTTCAAAAATTAAATATTTATATAACTAATGTGTTTATCAAGAGCAAAGGTTCCATAATCATATGATATATTAATAAGTAATATGTAGTCATTATGTGTTTTAAAATTAAAATGCAATCTTCCAAAATCCAAATTTCATATGTAATATAGTTATGATGGTGTTTGGGAATTGAAGTTGTTCACGAACAAAATAATAAGGATCCTTGAAAAGAGTGAAAGAGAAGTAAGAGATAATGGGAAAAAAGTTATCAAAATAGTACTTTGGTGCGAGAGAATAGTCATTATTGTGTATCATACAATTGTAATTAATTACTAGTTTTAGTTCTATCATTTGAGTTTCTATTTTTTTTTTACTCCTGTTAATATTAACATTATTATGACAACAACAAAAAATCATATAAATTTATAGGCTTGATCTCTTGGAGAAGCATAGATAGAATGTTGTAAAAAATGTATTTTGTAAAAAGTTATTTGTGAATCTGCAGTAGTTGGATTTACATAGAGTCTGTACTAACAAATATTTATAACAATAACTTTACAGAAACATAAACAATAAAGTTTAAAACATGTATTCAAAAACAACAATTAATATCATAAGCAGAAATTAATGACTGTAAAAAAACATATCAAGATCTATAACAATAGAATGAAACAGAAAGGAAAAATCAAGCTCATTGAATGCACAATGTTTCCTTAAGGAAATCATTCCCCTCTAGTACCAGAGGTTAAAAGAAATAGATCCTCTCAGGATGAAACGATTTTATTCACCAGTGTAATGATACAAAAACAATAGTGTCAGTGAGTCACTCAACATGAGCAAAGTACATAATATTTAATTGTGCAAAAGAAGAAGAAGAAGTTCAGAATCAAATATTTAATTGTGCAGAAGAAGAAGAAGAAGTTCAGAATAAAAAATTTAATTGTGCAGAAGAATAAGAAGAAGTTCAGAATTTTCGTTGTTTTAAAATGAGAGGGAACCCATCTATTTATAGACAACAAAGGGTAGTGTGAACAAATGTTTATTGTGCCTTACCGAAAAGGTCACAACTCTTCGGAAAGGTCACAACCTTTCATAAATGTTACAATCTTTCGTAAAAGTCGCAACTCTTCATAAAAGTCACAACTTTTAATAAAGTCGCAACTCTTCATAAAAAGTCACAACTTTTAATAAAAGTCAACCTTTCATAAAAGTCGCAACTCTTCGTAAAAGTCGCAACTTTTCATAAAAGTCACAACTTTTAATAACAGCCACAATTTTTCATGAAAGGGAAGGCTAATTTTGGAAATAAATAAATTAAAAAGGAATCCTTGCTTATGGTGACGCCACGTAGGCGGGCCTAGGGTTCTCTTATTTATATATATATATATATATGTGATATATGATAGTATCAATTTGAATAGTGACAGCTTATGAAGTTTTTATATTTATGAAGAAAAAATACTCATACAACTTAAAAAATCAAAATTACATGTCCAATATAAAACTTTAACTTCATATTACTTTAATTTCGCAACATGATTTTACATCGCATGTCCAAACGACTGATAATTGAGGGAACTTGACTAAATATTAAAGGCCAAAATTAGTCTTTGTGGGGTCAGAGAAAAATAGCCATAACATAGAAAAAAAGGAAATGAGAACGTAACATTTGCTGCAAGTCTTCCATATTATCGTATTTGACTGGTTTGGAGTCATTTTTAATTAATAAATACTACTTAAAAGACTTTGACTATTTCCAAGTCGTGCTTTTGATTTTGGAAATTATTTTCTTAAAAAAAAATATGATGAAAAGGTTAAAGGTGATTAATTGTTGATTTAACAAATTACCTTTCCAACGAGTATATATAATTAGTGAACTTTGCGATTTATGTAATTATAAAAATGATTAAATATATTTTTAAATCATTAATATTACTATTTTGATAAACAGTGTAATAGAAAAAAGAGAATGTAAATAAAGTCATTATCCTGAGACAACTTATTTATGAAAATTACTAAAGGGATATTTTCAAATTGTAATTTCAACTTAAAATAATATTAATGCTTCAAATAAACAATAATATAAAGTAACTTGATTATTAATTACTGACTTTCTTTATATATAAAAGATTTTGTAGTAAAACTAAAAAATAAGAAGACATATTGTGGCAAATAAAGATAGAGAAAAAATACTTGAATTATATATATTCTAACATACTTATTTACGAAATTCAAAAGTTAAAGAGATTTTTTTTTTTCGATATTCGATGTTTGTACTAGAATCAGACTCCACTTTTTTTGAGATTTCACTGAATTTGTTGTTGACTTTCGATATTCGATGTTTGTACTTGAATCAAACATATCACTAAGTCTATAATTTTTCAAGAGAAAAACAATATTATCATGTGTTTTTAGAGTTAATAAATTGTTGCTAACTAAGATAAATTATCAAAGGTTATTGGTGATTAATTGTTGATTTAATGATTCAAAACAAAGATTTTTTTTTGTTTCTTCTTTAACAACCAAGAAATGAGATACATGTTTTGGTCCAACAAAAAATGTTATAATATGTATCATGTGTTTCCCATCTTAAAAAAAGGAAGAAAAAAAAAGAGTCCTTGCAAAACGCATGATACGACTCCACTTTTGGAAATAAATAATTAATTATAGGATTAAATACATACCCAAATTTTCTTAAAATTTATTGGATGTTTTGTCTAGACATTCGAATTAAGGCTTGTTTTTATTACATGTTTTAATAAGATATTTTTAATTTAAAGTTTGAATTTTTTTTTTCATTTTCTTATTAAATGGTTCAGTTAACCACTTTAAAATATGTTATATCCTTTAAATATACATATTAACCTCAAGTAGAACTTATCGAAAGTTCTACGGTTTATTAAGATGAATAATATAATCAAAAGAAAATAGCATATCTTATATGATTAACTTAACTAATTAATAAACACTTGACGATGAGATATGAAAGAAAAATGATAAAACAAAATATTATGGACAAACGTATATTACGGAGCTGAAAAAGAGAGAAAAAATCATGGCCAAACGCTAGTCTTTTTTTAGAGCAAATGTTTGTCCTAAAGAGAGCTTACCAAGTCCAAGGCATAATTTCAACCCAGCTAGTATCAGCTATATGTCTAAGACACCTTAGAGTAGACAAAAGATTTACTTAAGCATTATTTAGCATTATAAAAAGAAAATATTAAACATATCGCTAGCACCTAGTTTAGGGTGTGTAAACTTGATATCAAAGCATTGATTTTCTTGTGAGTCATGGACCAATGTCTTAATGGAATCTATACTTCTAATATGTTGTGCGTTGTTTCCATATTTTGTGATTCTGTGGAGGATATTAGGTTTTCTTATGTGTTATTTTTAGATTTCTTCAATGTTGGTAAAGTCATGTCTAGAGCCAAATAAGTGTTAACTATAGGGGTCGTTTGGTTTGAATATGAGTTGTGATGGGATAAGTTATGTTGGGATAAGTTATGTTGGGATTAGTTATGATGGATAAGTTGTCCTGGGATTATTTCTTATTGAGTGTTTGGTTTGTTATATTCAAAATAATATATATTGATAAATTTTAAGAACAAGTTGTTTGTTTACAAAATTACCCTTCACTTTATTTAAACTTTTTAATTTTTTCTTTGTGAGCTTTAGTTATTCATTTTTTAAAATAAAACTTTTATTTTTTTTTAACTTAAATATTTTTGTTTATGTATTCCCATGATAAGTACCATGTGTATTTAAAAATATAACTTTTTTCTTATTTAGCTTAAAAATAGAACTTTCCTCTTAAGTTTATTAAAGAGAAGAAAATTTATGAGATATCAAAATAAAATAAACATAAGAATTAGTCAAATTCATAAATAAAAATTATATTTATATAGTATAATTTTTTAATAGAAAAATATGTATAATTATCATAAAAATAAGGAGTAGTAAATATTATTATACATGGTATTAAAAAAATGTAAATATACATAAATGTAAAAAATGATACATAAAAAGGATTTAAAGGGACATAGTTGTCATTTACCTATTCTATCTCGGGATAAGTTATCCCGGGATTACTATACCACCCATGGGGAGGGATAACTTATCCCGGTACTAATTATTAATCCCGGGATAAGTTATCCCGGACTTGCCAACCAAACAACATAATTTTTTTTTTATCCCATCACTATTTCCTTATCCCATCACTATTATTTCTAATCCCTCACACCAAACGAGCCCTAACTTCTTTAGGAGGAGCAGGAGATATCACCTCACCATAGATCAGTGAGATCCCAGCAAGGCTAAATGAGTGATAAATTTGTTCAGATTGAGGCTTAGTCTCTTATTCCCCTGCTTCCCAACCAATAAGAAGGTGGAATGAATTTACTCTCACCCAATGGGATAGTATAGACAAACATATGATTGACGCTATTAATTATCTTTCTTAAGAGGTGCAAAACTCTTAAACTACATAATAAGGACATTGAGGTCTATGCTTTCCAGACTAGCCAAAAATGTTGCTGCACCCGTGTCAGATCATCCCAAAATGCACTACCTTTGGGGGATACAACACGCAACCGACATCATCTTTTTTAAGAGTCTGAGCAACATAACATGAGGTAGAAATACAATGGTACTATACGATGTGTGATTAAATACCAAACTGTTGGCCCAAAGTTAGCAAAGTCTCTAGTAGTTCTTTGGCATCAGGCCTTTCATTTGGAGAGACACTTAAGCATTGCAGAGCAATTTCAAGCACTAGAAGCATTTGTTGATGAACTTGAACTGAATTTCCACTCACTCTGCTGTCAACAACTTCACCCAAATCTTCATGCTGAATTATCCACTTAGCCAACTCTGTTCCTTCACTAATTGCTGGTTTCCCTGTTAGAAGCTCAAGCATTATTACGCCAAAGCTGTACATATTACCGGCCTCAGTCACTTTCATCACATATGCATATTCTGCAAATACAAACATTACATGAAAAATCATTGACTTATAAAGCAGAGAGAAAATAAGCACTTGTTATTTAGTGAAGCTGGTATCCTGCATAAAGGAGAAAGAAATTCAATAAGTTGGTGTCGTAAATTCGATAGATGTAAAGTTCAATCACATTGAATACTTTCCTTCCCCTTCCTTCTATCCCGATCTTACCACTTTAAAAGACATTAACTATATGGAGTAACGTAGTCAGTTAAGTTTCCTACTGCTGATTTCAACTTATTTGAGACTCAAGTGTAGTAGTTGTAGTAGTTGTTGTAGTAGTATAAGAACAGGAACTATAAATGGTCCTTAAAGTAACAAAAACTAAGAAAATGAAAGTTGGTTCGTGTTGGTTTATGGACGACGCTATATCTCTGTGTTGTAGTTATCATCCTACCCAATTAGATATAATTTCTGGTTTCAAACTCTCAAGATACAACAAACCATAAAGTTTCTTGATGAAGAATCTGACAAAGGGATTCTTGATAATCCTAAAGGACTCTGAATTGCCTTGTAGGTAAAATAGTGTGCAAAGTGAAGTGAGTGATTGTAAAGACATGAATTAAAGAACATTCAATAATTACTTGTTTAAGATTTGAATCACATCATCGTCGCAAAAGCAACGAAGGATCAGTTTACCTGGAGGAACATATCCCACTGCTACAGAAAATTGTGAAGAATTAAATGTGCTCCCTAGCTCAATATCTCCAATTAAGGGTTGGTTCAAATGTTTCATAAAGATGCTGCTTGATGAAATATGGAAGAGAATGATCTGATCGCTGAAGAGAGAACCTCCATGTAAGAGAGCCAAACCTCTACAAATGCCAACTACTATGTCAAAGCGACTTTTCCAGTCTAAAGTACTGTCATCACATCTTCCGTGAAGGAGGTCAAAGAGTGTTCCATGTTGAGGGTATTCATAAACTATATATGTAGTATCAGATTCCACAACACAAGCAAGGGGAGCCATGGTGTAGTTGCTCAGGTGGCCAATATTAACAAGCCCTTGTTTGAACCTTTCCAAGCTATGCAGGCTGACTGACCTGTTCTTCTTCTTAATTCTCTTGATGCAATAGTACACACCACAAGGCATCATAACCTTGTAGTAAGTGTAGAACTGGTTGCTTTGCATAACATTAATTGGCCTACAAATTGCGGTCATGGCCTTGGACAGTTTAATTTGAAACTGGTGGAGGCTATCACCAGTGATCCAACAAACCTCGGTTTGGTGCAGGTTAGTTGAAATAGCAATCACCACGAAAACAGCAATTGTTGCTACACATGCAATTGGGACAACAACTGCAACAACTATTGATTTTCTCTTTTTTGCAGCCGCTTGTGGTGGAGCAACTGCGGAAGGATAGATCAGATCCCCATTTCCACCTGTCTCAACACTGACAAAGCTTTCAAACTTTGGAACAACTCCAGACAGTTGATTGTTTGAAAGCACCAACCTAGTCAAGCCTCTCATTCCCGTCAGGTAGTCTGGAATCTGACCCGAGAACCTGTTGTAAGAGAGATCCAAAACTTCCAATGAAGTCAATCTCGAAAAACTACTTGGTATAGGTCCTTGAAAAAGATTGTGACTCAGATTCAAAGCAATCTGTAAACTCAAAGGCATATCAGGAATAGGGCCACCGAGTTGGTTCCCTCCAAGTTGGAGTTCTAACAGCACATTTAAGTTACTAATGTCAACCGGAATTCGACCACTTAGATTATTCGCCTGCAAATTCAAGTTTGTGAGATTTCTCAAACTTGATAACGAACTTGGAATGGAACCAGTCAATAAATTCCAGCTGAAATTGAGCCTCTGCAATCTGTTCAACTGTGAAATGTTACTTGGAATTTCTCCAACTAGGTTATTGGACTGAAGACTCAGTACCTGAAGATTAGAAATATCACCCAGCTCAACAGGAATAACACCACTCAGCTTATTCTGGGCTAAGTTCAAAAGGGCCAACTTTTGGCACTTCCCCAATTCAGAAGGAATTGGTCCAGTTAACTGGTTGTTGTCCAGTTCCAAGTAGGTCAAACTTTGAAGGCTTTCAAAGGAAGCAGATGGAAATGATCCATTCAAAGCATTTTGCCCCAATCTCAACCTGATCAAATTTATCGACATGTTTGAAGGAACAGGTCCCTCTAACTTATTGGAAGTGAGATCAACAAATTGCAAGTTCATTGGGAATAAGAGGTCCTGAGGAATTGTACCATTTAATGTGTTAAAACTGAGGTCCAAATTCCTCAGGTATGTGGTTATACCAAAGGGTATATTTCCAACAAAATCATTCTGATTCACAGCAAAATGCGTAAGTGTTGTGATATTCCTAAGGGATTGTGGGATTGTGCCACTCAATCTATTGTTTGACAAAATCAAGACTTGCAATTTTGAAAGTTCACCTAATCTATCAGGAATTACACCAGATAGGAAGTTTAGAGATAGGTCAATCAAAGTTAAGTTGCCAAAGTTAACAATTTGAGTGGGGAATTCACCTTCAAAAGAATTTGCAGAGAGATGAAGCTCCTCCAGAAGATTAAATTTTCCAAGACTGGTAGGAACTGAACCACTAAACATGTTAGAGCTAAGGTTCAAACTCTTGAGTGAATTCAATCCATCCAACTGCAAGTCAACTTTCCCCTTCAAGTCATTAAAAGAAAAGTCTAAAGACTCCAACTTTCCATAACCAGTGAAAGTAGGCAAAACACCCTCCAATTTATTCCCACTAAAGTTCAACAATTTCAACCCACTAATTCCCCCACAAACAGTGATGAACTCATTTGGGATAGAGCTCAAAAAGTTCTGGGAAACATCAATAGACTCCAAAGTATCAATTTGACAAATAAAAGGCAAGAATTCAGAGCTAGAAATAGAGAACAATGAAAAGGTGACTTTGGTAAGGGAGGAATTTATCAGAAAATTGCAAGAAACCCCTTTCCAAGAACATGGGGTTGAAGCTTTATCAGTTCCATTCCATACAAAAGAAGCACCAGTATCATTCTGAAACAGATCATAGACACTTCTCATGACATTAATTTGATTTGGGGGCAATTGGGAAAGCACCAAATGTGAAAAGAAAGACAAGTACAGAATAGAAGGAAGATAGACAAACATTGTGGCTTGCATTTGGTTTCAAGAATTGAATTGATAAACTTCAGTAGGCAGTATTATGCATGCACAAGATCCTAATAACTAACCCTTTGTTGGTAAGATTTTCATCTTATGAATAACTAATACATGTATTAGTTATACACCTTATTCAGTATTATAGGGTGTATAATTAATACATTGCAAATCATGGTATGAGTAATACAAGGTTATTACTATATGGATAAGCATGGTTAAAGACAAAACTGTCTTTGATACATTAAACCAAATAATCAATAAGAAATATTCGCAGTATTAGGCTTATGTATCGGTCGGTTCGGTTTGATTTTGATGTATATCGACTTAACTTATCGATTATTAGTGTGTAGACATGCTAAATTGTTATATAACCATTAAGGTATCAATTTATCAGTCATTGATCGTTATCGGTTAAACCGTTAAGATTTCACACTAAAAATCATTTAAAAATCACATAGATACAAGGTGACAAACCAAATGAATTATGCACATGAATTGACTTCATTTTGCTCAAAAGCAAGCACTTTCATGTTGTAGAATAACCGAGAGTATGAGACAGTTGAAGGTATGAAACTAAACCTTAAGTCAAGGACTCTATATATCAAATGATATATATTAATTTATTAATTTACTATCAGATTATCAGTGAACCCGTTAGAAAAAATCTCAAACCGTTAAGAACGGATAACCCGATGCAAGAAATAATAATCAAAACCAGTACCGAAACCCACTAATTCAATAACCCATTGCAGCATTACCAATAAATCAATAACTTTTTTTTATTTGGGTTATGGGTTTTAATTCGATTTTGAACAACCCTACACCGCATTACTACGACACCCTACCGAACACAATTTTATACACTCTACCAAACAATTTGAAGCGTATTTTTCTCAAAAAGTGTTTTCAAAAAGGTGCTTTTGGAGAAAAACTACTTTGTTTAGCTTGCAAAAAATAGTTTCAGTTACTCCTTCAAAGTACTATTTTTTTCTCAAAAACTTAATAAGCACCTTACTTTTCTAAAATAAGTATTTTCTGAAGAAAAAAATAATATTTTTAACCTTAAAAATTTAATCAAACGGGCTATTAATCCCCCTTGTTTAATAGTAACATATGGCCCTTCATCAAGAAGAGTTGCTACATACGAATGAATCGTACAATTCTTTGCACAATCTACTTTCATTATTATACATACACCTAGCTATCATCTTTACTAATATTATTGGATGAACCAAGTGAAGTTGAATGTTCGAATTTCATGTTTATTTTGTCATATATCTTATGATAATCGTGCTATCGTTGGGACAGGATCCTGGCCTACCCATCATAAACCTACATATCCAAACGACATCAAAATATTAGACATAGCTACTCCAAGAAGAAATAAATGGAGTTCATCATTCCATAGTTAATTATAGTTCGAATCTGTATACAGGTTTGTCAACTTGTAAACCTAGACCTATGACATGAAACACAGTATCTCCAGCAAAAGGACTTTGGTATGAAAAAATGTACTATCTATGTCAAGCTAGATCGTGTATCGTTAATCACAAGTATTTCCATAACATATAGTACTAATTTAGCTTTAAATGATTCTTTCGATCATCCTATTATTTCAAGTAACATAACTATTCATGTAACATCACCATATCATGACAATACCTCAAAGAAGTTCAATTATCATCGGAAATTCATGTGTACCATGTGAAATGATTATATTAAAGAATAATCAGTATTACTACTAATGACTGAGATTTTTATAAAATTATGTGTATTGAAAAGTTCGTAATCACAAACATTTATTTATAAAAAAAGAAAATGAGTTATATCACTTTACAATATTTTGATATCTTATTATGAACTATGAATTTACTTAATTGATTAGACTAGTAAATGGGCCCATGCTTCGCGCGGTTAGATTATTTTTTCTTTAAAAATTTATTAGAATAGAATTATTCTTGTATTTTGATGTTATAGCATTTTTATATAAATATATTTTCAAGAGTATAGAGGTTATTCAATTGTAGTTTACCATTTGTTTTATTAAAAGAAAAGGCAAAAATTACAAATCATAACACTATTTCTCCTAGTTTTCATAATTTCATTTTTACAAATTCATTAATTTGCTTTTGAAATTTTACAATGGTTAGATTAGTTTTATCATTTATATGCATGGATACATAGTGTCTTTAATTACAAAGTCAAATAAATATTTTTCTCAATTTTCTTCTTTGCAAATTTCGTTAGTATAACACTATCAATTACTTTCAAAAATTAAATATTTATATAACTAATGTGTTTATCAAGAGCAAAGGTTCCATAATCATATGATATATTAATAAGTAATATGTAGTCATTATGTGTTTTAAAATTAAAATGCAATCTTCCAAAATCCAAATTTCATATGTAATATAGTTATGATGGTGTTTGGGAATTGAAGTTGTTCACGAACAAAATAATAAGGATCCTTGAAAAGAGTGAAAGAGAAGTAAGAGATAATGGGAAAAAAGTTATCAAAATAGTACTTTGGTGCGAGAGAATAGTCATTATTGTGTATCATACAATTGTAATTAATTACTAGTTTTAGTTCTATCATTTGAGTTTCTATTTTTTTTTTTACTCCTGTTAATATTAACATTATTATGACAACAACAAAAAATCATATAAATTTATAGGCTTGATCTCTTGGAGAAGCATAGATAGAATGTTGTAAAAAATGTATTTTGTAAAAAGTTATTTGTGAATCTGCAGTAGTTGGATTTACATAGAGTCTGTACTAAACAAATATTTATAACAATAACTTTACAGAAACATAAACAATAAAGTTTAAAACATGTATTCAAAAACAACAATTAATATCATAAGCAGAAATTAATGACTGTAAAAAAACATATCAAGATCTATAACAATAGAATGAAACAGAAAGGAAAAATCAAGCTCATTGAATGCACAATGTTTCCTTAAGGAAATCATTCCCCTCTAGTACCAGAGGTTAAAAGAAATAGATCCTCTCAGGATGAAACGATTTTATTCACCAGTGTAATGATACAAAAACAATAGTGTCAGTGAGTCACTCAACATGAGCAAAGTACATAATATTTAATTGTGCAAAAGAAGAAGAAGAAGTTCAGAATCAAATATTTAATTGTGCAGAAGAAGAAGAAGAAGTTCAGAATAAAAAATTTAATTGTGCAGAAGAATAAGAAGAAGTTCAGAATTTTCGTTGTTTTAAAATGAGAGGGAACCCATCTATTTATAGACAACAAAGGGTAGTGTGAACAAATGTTTATTGTGCCTTACCGAAAAGGTCACAACTCTTCGGAAAGGTCACAACCTTTCATAAATGTTACAATCTTTCGTAAAAGTCGCAACTCTTCATAAAAGTCACAACTTTTAATAAAAGTCGCAACTCTTCATAAAAAGTCACAACTTTTAATAAAAGTCAACCTTTCATAAAAGTCGCAACTCTTCGTAAAAGTCGCAACTTTTCATAAAAGTCACAACTTTTAATAACAGCCACAATTTTTCATGAAAGGGAAGGCTAATTTTGGAAATAAATAAATTAAAAAGGAATCCTTGCTTATGGTGACGCCACGTAGGCGGGCCTAGGGTTCTCTTATTTATATATATATATATATGTGATATATGATAGTATCAATTTGAATAGTGACAGCTTATGAAGTTTTTATATTTATGAAGAAAAAATACTCATACAACTTAAAAAATCAAAATTACATGTCCAATATAAAACTTTAACTTCATATTACTTTAATTTCGCAACATGATTTTACATCGCATGTCCAAACGACTGATAATTGAGGGAACTTGACTAAATATTAAAGGCCAAAATTAGTCTTTGTGGGGTCAGAGAAAATAGCCATAACATAGAAAAAAAGGAAATGAGAACGTAACATTTGCTGCAAGTCTTCCATATTATCGTATTTGACTGGTTTGGAGTCATTTTTAATTAATAAATACTACTTAAAAGACTTTGACTATTTCCAAGTCGTGCTTTTGATTTTGGAAATTATTTTCTTAAAAAAAAAATATGATGAAAAGGTTAAAGGTGATTAATTGTTGATTTAACAAATTACCTTTCCAACGAGTATATATAATTAGTGAACTTTGCGATTTATGTAATTATAAAAAATGATTAAATATATTTTTAAATCATTAATATTACTATTTTGATAAACAGTGTAATAGAAAAAAGAGAATGTAAATAAAGTCATTATCCTGAGACAACTTATTTATGAAAATTACTAAAGGGATATTTTCAAATTGTAATTTCAACTTAAAATAATATTAATGCTTCAAATAAACAATAATATAAAGTAACTTGATTATTAATTACCTGACTTTCTTTATATATAAAAGATTTTGTAGTAAAAACTAAAAAATAAGAAGACATATTGTGGCAAATAAAGATAGAGAAAAATACTTGAATTATATATATTCTAACATACTTATTTACGAAATTCAAAAGTTAAAGAGATTTTTTTTTTCGATATTCGATGTTTGTACTAGAATCAGACTCCACTTTTTTTGAGATTTCACTGAATTTGTTGTTGACTTTCGATATTCGATGTTTGTACTTGAATCAAACATATCACTAAGTCTATAATTTTTCAAGAGAAAAACAATATTATCATGTGTTTTTAGAGTTAATAAATTGTTGCTAACTAAGATAAATTATCAAAGGTTATTGGTGATTAATTGTTGATTTAATGATTCAAAACAAAGATTTTTTTTTGTTTCTTCTTTAACAACCAAGAAATGAGATACATGTTTTGGTCCAACAAAAAAATGTTATAATATGTATCATGTGTTTCCCATCTTAAAAAAAGGAAGAAAAAAAAAAGAGTCCTTGCAAAACGCATGATACGACTCCACTTTTGGAAATAAATAATTAATTATAGGATTAAATACATACCCAAATTTTCTTAAAATTTATTGGATGTTTTGTCTAGACATTCGAATTAAGGCTT